GGCCTACCCCACGGATCCCTGTTTAGCTCTTCGAGGAACTCAGTCCAGGCTTCGGATTTTGCTTTGCAAATTGCCGCCTTTAACGCCTTTTTGGTGGCATTATATGCAGTCCGTAGCTGTTCTTCCTCACCCTGTGTTCTATGTCTCCGCCTACGACATCTGAGCAATGCCCTCCTTGCCCTATAGGTATTGTCCCGAAGCGTGCCCAGTTCATCGGACCACCAATAAACATATTTTTTAGGTGGAACTTCTCTCACCTTGGGCATAGATGCATTGCAAATTTCGGTGAGAGCACCTTTCAGTCTATTGGCTGCATCTTCAGTACTTGGGCCAATTTCAGAAGGGATGGCCCAGGCCTGTACAACGGCAGCCTCATCGGCAATCTCCCTATCAAATTTAATAGTCGACCACCTTGGGAAATGGGGTTCACGTAGGCTGAACGGAGAGGGAATATCCATGCCAGACTCCGGCGCTAGCCAGAATCTTATGTAGCGGTGGTCTGACATGGAATATTTCTCTATGATGACCCTCCAGTCGTGGAAACGTGGTGCCAGTGCCGGGGTAGTGAACGTTAGGTCCACTATAGACCCACCCTCGCCCCTGACACATGTGTACACATTTCCACGATTCATAAGCTCTAAACCGTGAGCTCCAGCCCAATCGGTTACTAATTCGCCTTTGACGGTATTCCTGGGGGAACCCCACGCAGTGTGTTTAGCGTTAAAGTCCCCCAGGATAATCATTTTGGCGGTCTCATGGCGACGCACCACTCTGGCAAGCTCATCTATCCATATTTCGTATTGTGCGACGGTTCTGTTGGGGGAGAAATAAACAGCAATGAGCCTAAATTCTCCCCAGTCCGCCACAACAATACCTGCTCCCTTTTCCCTGACAATCATAGGCGGGGTATAATGTTGGGTACGTGGTATTAGTATGGCAACACTATTTTCCGTATCACACGCCCAGTTATCCCTATCAGGGACAAAATAGGGTTCGGCGAACACCGCTATATCCGCCGACCACTCCTTAACCATTTGCAGCAGGAGATCCTGGGCTCCTGCTGCGTGGTTAATATTACCTTGGAGGAAGCTGATGGGTCTACGGAACATTACGTTGACATTTCAGCCTCCTCCAGGGTAGTAATTGTCTCCATGGCTATTGCCTTATTGGCCTGGGTCTTGGGGGCCTTTTTTGATTTGGCAATAACAGGAGGTTTACATTTCCCACTTCCCATGATATGGTCCGATTTGAGACCAGCCTTTTTGCATACCGAACACGACGGATCTTTGTCGCATTCGGCAGCCTTATGGTCTGTGTCGCCACACCTATAGCAGACTCCTTTGTAGTCTGCTGTGCTAGGGCAGAGTTTCCTGGTGTGCCCCGTACCCATGCATTTGAAACAACGCATGGGTAAAGGGGCCAGGTGTTGCACAGACGCTGAGGTCCACCCTACCAACAATTTGCCCTTTGACATAATCGTCTTCGCAGCCGCCACTGGGCATTTTACAACGACTGCACCTAGGCCGTTTCTGCCGAGACTGATTTTGCCGACTTTTACTTGTGTCGGAGGGCAACCTCCTATCTTAGAAACTGCCTCCGCCACTTCCTCTCTATCGACCGAATCATCTATGCCCACAATGCGGAGATCTGCAGTCTTTGTGGGTCTAGCGACACTTATGTGTTCCTGGTATAGCTCCCTCATCTTTTCTGCCAGTAAATCTGCCTGTTCATTACTAGAGGCTCCGGGAATTTCAAATTTGCGTGCGCCCGTGGCAGTGGGGCGTATTTTGATACCCGGAATACCGAGATCTCCCAACTTTATGTCCTTCCTCGCTTGTCTCACTATTTGCGAGTAGGTCATTCCTTTTTCGACAGATTCCTCCGAGAGGGTAATGACAACAGCCGTAGTGCGGGGTTGCGAAAGCTTCGGCTTTTTCACCCTCGCGCTTTTTGGTTTACTGAACTGTTTAGCAGTCTGGTTTGCCCTCTTGTTGTTATTACCCTTTTGCCTAGGAGGGTCAGGAGGAGGAAGAGGGAGGGACGCTGTCGTTTCCTTCACGGAGGCATTTGCAGCATCTTTTTTGGCCTTTTTACCCTTCTTCTTCTTTGCCTTCTTACCCTCGACCAGGGTCCATTCTGTCTCCCGTTCTTTCCGCTGTTGTTGTTGGCCAGGCGCAGGATTGGTTCCTTTTTTGCCCTGCTGCTTCGAGACAGACTGGGGTGCCTGTTTTTTGGAAGCTAAGCCGGGGGAGGACCCTTGCGTCCTGGCTGTACCAGCGTTGGTTGGAGCAGGTCCCACATTGGGTGTAGGTTGTGGTCCCTGTTCCTTATTCTTGTCCTTGTCTGCTGCCAGGGGGGGGCGATAGTTCCTGTCTGGCAGCAGACGATGTTGAATACCCTCAAAACGGGCATTAATCATATTGCCCAGTGAATTCAGGAGGGACTTTTGTAACTCCCCCATTGCCCCTCCCAATTGCTCCTCAAAAGTGGGAGCAGCTGGGGGAGGGAGATCAGGTTGTTGGGAGGAAGGCTCAGTGGCCCTCTTACTACTCCGGTTTTTCTCGTCTAAAGTCTTCTTAACAGCATTGAGCTCCACCCTTAAAATTCGAAGCTCTTGGCTCAGTCTACGGTTTTCTGCCTGTAGTCTCAGCATTTGCTCCGAGGGGTAGTTCTTTCCTGCAAGAAGACTTACAATGTCCATAACCTTTTGAGCCGAATCTTTGAGACTTTTTTGTACCGTCCCTTTCAAGTTCCTGGACTTTTTAACACATTCCATGATATCGTTAATATGCTTTTCAGCCTGAGCTTCGTGGTCCAGGTGTCCAAGTTCCTTATCAACTCCCCTCTTTATAAACTTCGTTTTTCCGTTATCTTCGCCTCCGGATAGGTCACTGACTCTCGAACCATCCGACATGCCGGAACCATCACCCTCATGTTCAGGTTCCGAACTGACAGATGTTTTCTGTTTCCTCTTCTTATTGTTCTTTCTTAGGGCCTTAGGTTGCGTCAACTGTAGTCAACTCACGCCGTGCCCGCACCGCTGCCAGCATCTCGTTTTTACGTTTCCTTTGTGTGAATCTGATTATAATGTTAGGTATTGCAGATGCGTCTCGGGAGGACTCGCCAACAAGTTGACTATTTGTGATGATGTTCTTGGGAGTAAAACGCCGTACGCGGTGGACATAGTCTATATCAGATGATGTTAACGTAAAACCTACTTTTTTGGCAAGGTTATTGACAATCGAGAACAAATTATCTCCCTTAAGAACGGGAACGCCGACTATTTCGAGATTATTTAACCTGCCTTGCTGATCTTTCACTTCGAGTTGTTCCTGTAAGGTTTTTATCGTCGATTCCGCAACGGACATTTTTTTATTCATTCCTTCATCAGACAACTTCAACTGGCGAATTTCATTCTTCCAGAATATATTTACATATTCCAGATGTGCAATCAGAAGTTAAATTTTGAATTTGTCCTTTCAAGTCCCATATTTCTTGCTTAAAAGTACCTAGATCGTCACGCAATGCATCAAGAGTGACCTTTATACTTTTGTTTTGGCTGTCGAGAGTCGAATTAATAGACGTTAACAAGCTTTTCTGAAATTCAAGTAGTTTATCTTCAAAGTTACAGCTGCAATCTGGCATTTTTCGTTTCCTTAAACAAATATTATGGGCGGTATCTTCTCGCAATTTGGATAAATCTGGATGTGATCCCGAATTGGTGCGAGGTGGGCTTTTTTGCTTATTCATAATTATTTTCTATTTGAAAATTAATCAATAAATTTGATTAAGAAGAATAAAGTGTATGATATGAGGGTTTGAGGGTAATAACAGCAGCAATAATCATGAACAGGTAGCGTGCTCAATGGGGGCGGGGTTAGCAATGATTGTATCTTGCGCTATCCCACTTGCTCAAGTAAGAGCTGTCGCACCAGCCAACAACCGAGCGTAGCCGATTTGCAACCGAGCTTCTAATGAAAAGTACAAATAGCTATCACTTTCCCATTCGCACCGAATTTATTAAAGCAAAAGCAAAACACAGTTCTCACACCAAACGACAAGAGCAAAGAGCTTATAATGTAATAAAGTATTAACACTGGAGTCAGAAAAAAGCGTCCGACCACGTCCAAACACGAAAGAGCTCTCCGGCTGACTGAGACTTAGACGTCCATCGTACTCCCCGGACCTTGCTCCAACAGATTACCATTTTTTTAGCAATTTGGATAACTTCTTGCAAGGGAAAAAACTCAACTCCGATGGGGCAGTACAAATCGCCTTCAAAAATTTTATTGATTCCCGTCCGAATGGTATTTTTAGTAAGGGGATCAATGAACTACCTATGAGATGGCAAAAGTGCATAGATAACAATGGTTTATACTTTGAATAAATAAATATATTATATTAAACAATATTCGACTTTATGTCCTCCCATACAAAACACCAATTTCATATCATCATCATCATCATTACCAGCCCTTTTTATGTCCCCACTGCAGGGGCTCAGGCTCTTCTTATGGAGGATGGTTAAGGATGATAGGCCATGACCCTCCACGCTGGCCCAATGCGGATTGGAGGATATTAACGACTGCCAATGCAGCCGGGACCAACGGCTTAACGTGCCTTCCGAAGCACGGAGTAGCTCGAGATAATAATTTTTGGTCACCCATCCCGTGACCAACCCTTGCGAAAGTTGCTTAACGACTACGATGGCGGGCCAAAGTTGCATGCTTATTATAACGATTTCAAAACGTCAGTTGAAAAAATAGCGATTAAGCAATAAGCAGTTTTTAAAAACGCTTATTAAAAATCGTACAACGTAACAACGTTTAACAATTTTAAGCAGTTATTTCCACCTTTACTAGTCGATCAAAGATTGTTAACTGTAAACGCATTGATTCTACGTCAACGGTTGATTTAACCGGTCCGTAGATTCAACGCCCATTGCTAGTGTGGATAATACATACTTTTTGGCTGTATGGCTGAGTTCCTTCGCCTGTCCCATGGACAAATTATAATACTACTTTATAATATACTTCTAAGAAAGTTGATAAAATTGCAATTTCTAGATAAATCGGGGGTCCTGTATAATATTAAAAACCTCAAAATTGTTATAAGCCACGATTAAATTAAAAAATTATTTCATTAATTTTATTTATTTAACCTGCAATGTCAGAGAAACAAAAAACGTAAGTAAACTTGTTTAATATTACTTTGGATTTTAAATACCCTTTACTATTTAAATATGTGATCCTGTAAAGCTAAATTCTAATTTCAAACTTTTTACAAATCTATAGACTCGTCTGTGGCGACGTGAATGGAAATTTTAACGCACTGTTTTCCCGCGTTGAAACTATTGTCAAAAAATCGGGCCCGTTCGATGTGTTGTTATGTGTGGGAAACTTCTTTAAGGATGATAATTCAGAACTTGATGCGTACAAAATGGGCACACGAAAAGGTAACATATGTTTTTTCTTAGCCATATAGGATTTTGATTTGGGTTGTGGGAGATTACTTATATGGCAAAGAAGTGAGATCCTTCCCTTGAAAGAGTCAAGTTGCATTCTTCAAGGAAAGGCTTATCCCAGAAGAAAAAGGTAATGCAAAAAAGGATTGACTGATAGAAAATGGACTTAAATGTAAGGAAAGACTGGCAGGGTAGACAGGGAGAGGCATAGATACTGTATGCCAAGTGCACCTATGCTTTTAATGAACCATGGTCAGTATGCTCAATCACAGATTTCATTCTTGTACACTGTTATGTCTTCAATAGTGATTGGTTGAGTTAGGCCTGTAGAGTGAATATTTTTTTAATTTTGTTATATGGAAATAAATTAGAACTTTACATTTGTTATATTTTAATGCTAAAATAAGTTCTCAACTCCAGTAGGAAAAATTAAAACTTACATTAGTAATTTTAACAAAAGATTTAAATTAACAATGTTTTCTTAAGATAAGGTGTCAATTTTATTTAATATTTTTAGTTCCTGTTACAACATATGTATTTGGACCTTCTAATAGTGATCACATACAATTTTATCCTGATGAGGGATCCGACATAGCCCCCAATATAATTTACATGGGTAAGTGGTTACAAATTTTGTTTTTTATTTTTCAATCACTTAGTAATTTTTTCACTTTATTTGTTTAATGTGATGGTTTTCTACTTCCAAATGTGGAGCTAAACCAAAATCATTAATTATTTTGATAATCATTCAGGAAGAAGAGGTATTTTCACCACCAGTATGGATGTGAAAATTGCATACTTATCAGGACTATCAAGAAGAGAACTTGGTAAGGATATTCCAATGTGTACCTTTGAGCCAAGTGACTGCAGTGCAGTAAGAGATGCCTGTTTTAGAGGGCAGGCTGAATTTAGAGGTGTTGATGTATTAATATCTACGTTATGGCCAGCTGGTATTCAACAAGATGAAACTCAAAAGGTAAATGATATTGGAAATTAATTGCATTATACAAATTAAAAACAAAATTATGTCATATAATCTCTGTGCAGATATCAACATTATCTTTTAATTGATCTTATAATGATAATTCTTCCTAAACTATAAATTTCATAAAATTAGTTGTAATAGGGATGACAACTAATTTTGTTTGTTTGTCTGTCAGGTAGATTGTTGAAAAATATTAAACACATATGTTTTTGTTATTTGCGACATCATTAAATTACGGCGATACATCGAATCGAAATGTCGCATGATGTCACGCCTTGGTAGATTTTCTACAAAACCGTTACAAAGCCCCCACTCCTCAAGTTTATTGCCTGTTATCTAAGCAATTACTTGTTGAATTGAAGTAAAAAAATATGTATCTAATATTTTTCTATTATCTAACTGACTGACTAAATAGAATTTCTTTTCTTTTACCCATTTGTCATCCCTATTGCCATGAGGGATATTATGTAAGTAATATTATTAACAAACAAGTAGTGTACTATCCCCGATAATAGTATCTGATAATGCGTAAATGATTTTTAAATATAATTCATATTTGCTTGTTTCAGGTAGATGTCCAGGAGGACCGTCTTTCAGATTTACTATCATGGCTCTCTATTCATATAAAACCTAGATACCACTTTGTACCATCGGTGGACAAATATTATGAAAGACAACCATATAGGTATGCATTGTTACTTCTTAATATTAAGTTAATAAGTTCTTATTTGTTATATTTGACTATACTACTCACAGACAGAGTTCATTTTTTTTTGATAATTTTTTTTGGATAATTATCTGATAAACATTTGAAAATGATATTTGATTGGTAATCACTGACAACAATTTTTAAAATTGATTAATGGATGGTCTCTAATGGAGTTAAAGCTTTAATTTGTTTAACAGTGAAACTGCTGACTGTTTTTACCAATGCAGCCACCTCAATGTAAAAAGTCCCTTGATAAACTGTTTCCTTTTTAGAAACCAAAGTGTGCACCAAGATTATAGAGAATGCGCGACAAGGTTTATAGCTTTAGCACCAGTGGGCAACAAAATGAAGGAGAAATGGATATATGCTTGTTCCTTACAACCTATATCGAAAATGCGTATGACAGATCTCCTGCAAGCAACAACTGATGAAACACCCTGTCCATATGATCCAGAGTTATTAAAACAACATCAGCCAGGAAAAGTGGTTAAGGTAAAGATGATATACCAATTTATTATCTTTATAGTTACTAATAAAGCTTTTTTTTTGTTTTATTTAACATGCTGATTTGTCCAGTTATTTTTTATTTAAAACCCCAAAGGTTTTTTATTTTATTTTTTTAATTAATTAAAATACTTATCTTGGAACTGCTGGATGTAGCTATGAGTTGTAATACTATTTTTATAAAAGTGTTTTTTTACAAATCTTAATATAGCTGTATAAATTCCAATCTTTTTTTCCTAGATATCCCATAAAAAAGTTTATATTTTTTAGTTTTCAGGTAATGGCCAGTACTTTTTCAATATGGATGCAACAGATGATGATCATGGAAAAAGGAAAAGAAAAGGTGGAGACAACCCAGAGAGAAAGAGAAAAGAATTTGACCCAGGTAGTTTCATTTCTCCTTCACTACTCCAATTAATTTGATAAAACCTCTAAAGAATCTCTAGCTAGAGGAAGTTCTGTTGATTTAATTTATAAGCATACTCGGCATTTACTAAGGGGTGGGGCATATATAAAGATTGTAAATAATACAAATTTTAAATGCTATATACTTTTTTTTTTCAGATACTTGCTGGTTTTGTTTATCTTCGCCTACTGTAGAAAAACATTTGGTCATAAGTGTTGGTACTCACTGTTACTTAGCGTTAGCTCGAGGTCCATTGACGCCCTACCATACTCTTATATTGCCTATTGCTCATCATCAGGCGTTAACAAGAGTAAGAAATTACTATTTTTTAACAAATTCCATGCTATACTCAGGGTGCTAATTATCTAATTTTAAAATCTGACTCGATCCCTTTCATTAAGCAATTTTTCTAGCAATTTTTGAAAGTTTTGCAATGTAATAGTGATTGCAATTGTGACGTTATTTTAAAAGATATTTAATGAACTATATAAGGTGTGATATTTTTATATGCTAGGTCTTCATGGGGTGGGTTACTTAAGTATACTGAACAACTTTTACTATGGGAGCAAAACTTAAATAATGTCTTTTGTAGAATATAGAATCAAAATAGCCAAGGTACACAATCTCAAGATTTGGAGGAATATATGATCAATAAACCAGTGTTTCTCAAACATTCAATATGCAAACTCTTTCCGGCACAAAAATTCTGGCGACGAGCTATAAATATGATATAATTATACAAAAAAATATGATATAATTATACTAATTCCCCCCCAAAGTAATATTTTTAAGACATCTTTACCTTTAATTAATTTGCACATCGTTTCGTGTCAGGCTCCAGATGAAGTTATAGAAGAAATTAAATTATTTAAGAAAGCACTGACAGACTTTTTTAACACAATGAAAATGGATGTGGTGTTTTATGAACGCAACTACCATACAACACATATGCAGATACAGGTGGTGCCTGTGCCAAAGGAATGCTCTTTACAAATATTGGAAGTATTTCAGGTAATTAATTTTGTATAAGTATAGAATATTGTCTTTTCTATATTGTCTCGAGATTCGCTCAGAACATACTGCTTTCGTTATTTCAAACTTTTGCTAATAACATATGTACTACATGTAAATAGGTTGGTTAACAACTTTTATTTTATAAAAAATATCCTTCAATATCTGAGAAGTAATAGCATGTCTGCGATTTATATTTTGGAGATACAGTATGTAAGTATGTTTGTGGAATTGCTGCTAGTTTGTAGACCGAAAATACTCGCTACAAATTTAAGGCACTAAGTGACGCCACAGTGCTATGGTAGCGAAAAAGGTATGGGCGTCTGAGAAATCTGTAATATATCACAATTTGTGTGTTTATGTTTATAGCTGTCATAATGTCAGTTGTAACATATTATGTAATTAATTTAATGCTATATGTACTTTAGATAATTTTGGTAATATATTTTCCCTGCTTTCTTCAAGCTTTCATAGTGTAATATTTTCCAAATTAGGATTTAATATATTGATTTCTTATATTTTCACGCACACTATCCATAAATGAAACAACTTTTAAATGGTCTCATCACGTTTGTATTTTTCTGTTATTGACGTTTCGGACCCTTCACAGGTTCCGTGTTCACATAAGACTAATGTGTTGATTGTTTTTTTAATTATGAGTCTGAGAAAAGAGAGTTTTAGTTAAAAAAGAAAAAGAATAAGAAGAAATTGAATCTATGCTATTAACAATAACTTAATATTAAGTAATAAAATAGGGAAATACACACACGCACACGCACACGCGCACGCACACGCACACGCGCACGCGCACGCACACGCACCTGGATGTTAAATTTTGTTAAATAACATATAAAATAACATGTTAATAACGAACATATAACAGAAACCTTTATTGTCAGTTGTAGGACATTAGCTTATTATTTACTATATATATTGGTGCAGATGACTGCGGGCCCATTTTTGTCATTAGTCAAAAATCAACCCGGTATTTAAAGAAAATGACAATTCAAGAGCTTCTATGAAACTTGTATATGAATAATTTTGTGTATAATTTTAGTTAATCTATATTAAAATTGTGAAGTAAGAGATTAACATTTTCATAGGACGAGGCTGGCATCAACAGTATTCAAATGGAAGTTCTACCACCATATACTGAAATAAACCAGGTGACGTTGCCTGGAGCACCGTATTTCCATGCAGAATTACCAACTGGCGAGCAGTTGTACGCCAAACCAAAGAAAAATTTCCCACTGCAATTCGGAAGGTAACTTTTTAATGTGTGAAGACAATGCTTATTAATATAACAATATTTATCAATGAAAATATTATTCATAACCGGTATTATAATATTGGCAAATTAAATTTAATTAAATACCTATGATTTAGGCAAGATGTTTATGTATTTGAAAGAGACCTACTTGAGAGCTCCCATTTCATCTCGGATATAGAATGCTTCAGAAGCTTCACTGTCTTATTAATTTTCTTTACATATTTTTCAATAAGACAACGATTAATCTGATAGCTTCAAGACTTATTTGTCAAATATGGTCCTTCGAGCCGGATAATGTGTATTGTTAATTATGTATTTTCAACAATCCCGTCGGTTTTCAGGGACGTTTTATCAAGCCCGCCTATATTAAATTGTGACGACAAAGCTGACTGGCGACAGTGTCTACTCAGTCGAGAGGAAGAAATATCACACGTGAATAACTTTAGAGAAAAGTTCCGTCCATTCGATTTTACAGCCGACGTGGATAGCGATAGCGACTGAATGCTCCACTGCTTCGCTGCTATTTCTTCGCTTTGAAGTGTTTGAAAATAAGCTTGTATATATGTACTAAAATTGATATTAGTTTAAAGCAAAATACCAGTATGAATTTTCAAATTTAGAAAATTTATTAGAACTTTTCTGCAACTGGGCGAGTCAGTTTCTACTATTTTCTATACAGCAGCACAATAAGTTTGTAGATTTCTTTAATTTCATTGTAATGTAAAAGAATATGTAATATTTTTATATAAATAAGCTAAATGCAATAAAGCGTTCAAGATCTTCAATATCTTTTTTTTTTATCTTGGGATAAATATATAAAAATACGGCTGCCTAATACAATCAAAAATTACCGACGTGTCTAAAATTAATGTATATAACTAATTAAAACGAGAAATCGGTTTCGGAGCATATAGACTACCACGTATTCGTACAATAATATGCGGGAATAAAAGTAGGTATGATTAAAAGAAATTTCAAGTATGTAATGTTTTCTTTTATTTCATCCACATCATACTGGCCTAATATACTCATTAACTCATTTGTTGCATTATAAAACATATTTTGTAACAACATGATTAACTAATGCTTACATTATTTGTGTTTCAATGTCTATTAACAAATCTTTTGAAAAAATGATATGGTATTACGACTAGATTCGTCACATGGATATAAAGAGTAAATAATTGTTTTGTTTTTTGGAATTTTAAAGCTAAATTAAAAATCCCTATTGATTTAAATTAAACATAAATATTCAAGTAGGTACAAATAATAAAATAATTATTCGAAAATCCTACTAAAACTACATAATGTTTTCGATTGACTAGCAATATGTATTTGTGTCTAGATTATATATAAAATAGATCTCAATTAAATATAGGGCAGTCTTCGTTGGAATTACTAAAGAGAGTCAACAAAAACCATTGTAAATTATTATAAATACACCACATAACTCACATAAAATATGTGTAATTGAATACAAAACGTCACGTTAAGTGTTCAACACCCATAAACTATGACTACAACATGTTCAATACAGTTCATATTATGTGTACGTACAAAGTTAACTTTCTGCCATATTCACCAAAAAGCTATAGGTAAGTGTATTGTCTTGTGTTACTGTTTACTGACGATCTTATTATATTAACTAATGACCATTACTCGATATTATATAGCAGTTGAGATAAAGCATAATTTTATTATCAGAGTTATACCATGTGTATTTGCAATTGTGAACTCTATAAACAATATATTTGTATACACATCCAGGATCAAAGTTGTTTATTAAATTATTAAACTGATGTATCAATGAGGAGATTTGTATACATTTAGTGAGTATGTATACATGATAAGTTTTATATTTCTCCATAGTTGGCACTTTACAAACATTTTACCTCTACGATATTATAAACGTTATAATATTAGTTGGAAGTTTCCAATTCTTATTTGTTATATAGACAATGATAAGATTTCCGATGAAAACCAGTGTTTTCATAAACTTTACAACAATCAAACAATAATTTCATTATCGGCTATAATTTTTCAATTATATCCGCAACTAGTTTTAAGACTTTGGTCAATAAGGCATTAAGTTTAAAATATACTTTTTATTTTAATTATTGTTCTCCTTATGTTTTACACTAGAATGTCATAAAATACACATTACATATTACAGTAATATTTACATGACGACCAGTTTGGCATGACGAATTACTGGTTAAAGCTGATTTTGGTACAAGTATATTTGTAATTTGTGGCATTGTTCAAAGTAAATGTCTTAATAAAGCCACAGAGAACACAGTATTCTAGAAAACTTTTTCAATACAGTTTACTATTAAAGAAAATGAAATTTTATTGTTGTAAGAACAAAGTTTATTTTTGCATCTCATGTCGTTGCATTATGCTTCGAAGTAATGCGTAAGATTATTTTAGTCGTCAATATCTTGCTAACTTTATTCATAATAACATCTTACGTCGTTTATACAATATTTCGTTAAAAATACTCGATTCTTGAGTACAAAAATGTAATTTCTAAGAGTAATATTTGTATTTTCTATGTTTACCTATCTACATACTATGTTATGTACAAAATTATACGCAGTATGGAAGTTAATGATTTTGGCGAGATAATAATAGATTATACCAACAAGGATTAACTAATCACGGTGAAACTTTATGAAAATATAACTAAGCTTTGAGCGTTGTGACATAACAGTGTAAAATAGTGGCAATTACGATTTGGCAACAATAGTGAACACAAATTAGCAATTTAACAATCACACTAAATTCGTAAATTTACGCAAAGTCATTTAAAAATATCGTTTTAAGATTCCGTTCATAATTTCTTATATCATTATAGTTCGAAGACATAACATTTTTTATTATGAAATACAAATTTTCTCTAAAGTTGTTTCCTTAAAATCGATCATCAGATAAACATTTTTTTCCAACATTTCATTAATGTGTATGGTGACGTCAAATGTCACTCGTACAAAAAGTTTTCACGATAAAAATTTGATTTATGCAAAGAGCACGTCAACGAATTGCTGATCAGCAACCGCAGTCAATTAGTTTCATAGGTGATTTCTGCGTCGCCATGTATTGAAGTTCATACGTTGATCTGGAATGCCTCTCGCGTGACCTTGGAGTCTGGTGCGTGGTGACGTTTGCGTCTGTGATGGCCCTCGCACTCGGTGTCGTCTGAGAACCGCGACGGCGGATGTATGTGCTCGTTGAACGACGGGTAGTTAGATATACTGGAACGTTTGAACGTGTGTCAGGTATTTCCCTTTACCTAAACGTATAAAGAGAGATGTTCTGTTGTCAAACTTTCAAAACATGCACATTTCCGTTACTGTTTGGGTATTTTTAGGCCAGTGTTTTCAAGCATGGGCTATTTAAGGATATCGATTCGTTAACCGTTTTTAGCTATGAAACCAATACAAAACAATTTTGTCAGATTTTCTTGGAGATTTTGCCTAGTTACAAACTGACTTAAAGAGTTAAATGAATGATAGAAGCCTGTTGTGGTTAAATGTTTTAAGGATTAATAAGAGACGAGGTGATTTTTTTTTTAAATTAAACTGTCATAAGTTGTTTAGTTAATTGTAGTTTTTCTATAATTTATGGTGTACAATAAAGAAATTATTATTCATTCATTAAAAAACTGGCTTGAGATAAAGAAACATTTAAATTGGAAAATACAATATAATAGAAGTAGCTTGGTTTCTATTTTGCCATGATACATTTTTTTCCTATCCCTAATACATTAATTTGAACGTGGTGCCAAATACCATGTTGGGCGCCAGTTCCTGGGAAGATGACTACAAAAAGCAACACGTTTGCACGAAAAAATTGATTGTCCTTACCTGAAGGTGGTCTCGTCGTTGTGACTGCTGTATCCGCTGGAGGAACGAACATGCCGTTTTCCGAGTGCACCCGCTTTCCCCTTGCGCGATGGAAACGCCTTGCGCACCACCCCGCCTACAGAGTTCTCCGACGATGATGATGACTCTTCCCGCTCCACTGTCGGATCTGTTCCAAACGAATTAAGTTGGCTTAATAATTTTGGATTAATAAAGAGTTAGCTGTCATTTGGAAAAGGTCAAGTGGATTCACGATATACGGTGTTATAGGTGTACCAGGATATGATGGCATTTCGGGGAATTTTAATTTGTAGAACGCAACATTCGGGAGAAACGATAAAGACGTCTTGATACTTGTAATAATTTAATATAATAAACACTTTTCAATAACTGCCTCATAGCATTGAACGTACTTCGGACCGTATCGCTATCATGACAAATTTAGATATAGATTAGCTGCACATTTTACCTAACTCGGAATCTAGCACGAATAAATAAAAGAAGAAGTTTGCTTAATGTCTACTAATATTGCAACTGCTGTTACGCCTACATATCTAAATCAAATCAGCTTTAGTTTATTTTTTTCTTTTCACGGTTCCTATTTTTACCCGGCGTATGTATTTACATATCTTCTCCTTCACTAATAATTCGTTTTATTGTAGTAGTCGACACCCTAATGAATATTTCCGAATTAATTCTTTAAAAAAATTAAGTACAAGTATCAAGAATCTAAACTTTAAAATTAAACAATTTCGTCAATTTTCAGCTTCTTTTCACAAATTTTGCTATAAACATTCAAAAATATATTTCTCGCTTCAGATATCAATGGCCTTTTTCACAGGGCATTTTAACAAATATTTAAAATTTAAACTGAGTTGTCAAAAAATTTAAATTGCCATACGAAAATCGAGTTTTTTTTTGCCATTATTACCCGGCAAGAAAAAATGATATCATTTAAAAACTACGCTACTACTACTACAAAAAACGATATATATACTAGATTTTTTTATTGTTGTCTCACAGCCGCCGTTACAAAAAAGGTAGCCAATTATGCAATTCGTCAGGTCCTTGTAGAACACTACGCTTATTTTCATATAGTAGCAATTATAGTATAGTAGCAATCCCGCAAAAAACTATCATTGTAATGTAAATTATCATGACAGCTTAAAACAACATATAGAAAAGTTTGCATTCAGTACTGACAGGCCGGTGGATGCGCGGGTCTAAGGCGGGCGGCTGGTTCGCTATCAGAGTGCGGCGCGCTGCCGTCGTCGCTCGCGTCATCCTCGTACTCTGTAATTGGCAGGTGCAGCGTTAGTATCTTCTTCACCTCCGAGTCCGTAGAGCCCAAGTTGTCCGACTCTGTAAAATATTCCGAACAGGTCACACGTGTATTGGTACATGTCCGTTCACGCTTAAAATCGTAAGGTCATGGAAACAAAATTCGTTTAACTATTTAATACGTGTAATCCAGCCATAAAACCAAAGACTTCTATGTTTATTATTAGACAAACTGTTCAGAACTACCCTCCAATCCGCGCGGTGAGCCATCCTCTTTAACCATCCATAAGGAAGGCCTGAATCACAGCAGTGGGGACGTAAAAAGGGCTGATGATAATGTTTAGAACTAAACAGCTTGTCTAGTGACAGTACAGTAGTGTTGGCAGACGGAATTTAAAAGAAATGATTGCAATTATGAGCAAATATTTATTTTATGTTACTTATTTATAGAAAGTGGTAGTATAGGGTCATGGCCTACGTGATTTGGAATAAACAGCAGAACGCTAGCAGCAATCTTGTCGAAAATGAAGTAGCTCGAATTGTTAGAACTCGCAATACTGTATTCTTGCAATGGAATGGCAAATTGTTACAAGATAAGCAAGTACTTTTGTATCATAAAGCTTGTCTAGTAATAGAAGTCTTTGTTTAAGATTGACATTAAACACATCAAAAATTCGATACTATCTGTTCTTATGACTTTACGATTCGAGCGAAAAGCGAATGAAATGCATGTGAGTTAAAAATGCGTGAATTGAACAACGGTTTTTGATTATGAATGAATAAAGCGAAACGGATGCATAATATTTGGTAAGCTTCGTATGGGATGGCACTGTTACTAAACGGACCATGACAACTAGATGCACGACGGATTAAAAAAATAATGAGAATAACTTAAAATCCAACGTATGTTACGATACATACTGTGTGCATGCTTACCTTTATCAATTACAACACCATTTAAGCTCCCATCAGGTTGCATAAAAGGTGATTAGTAGTATGTCAAATTCCAATCTCAATACTTAAATGGGTCAAAGTAAACTTAATCATCAGGTGCGAACTACATAAACCAAAAGTAATCCGGCTAACTACCTACTTAGAGACAAGCCTTATTAAGACAAAATACTGGGTTACCAGGTTTATGTTATAATTACCTTGGCTTTCCGAATGCGGATCCCGGAGTCTGTTTCCTTTTCTCCTGACTTTAGTATATTCCGGTTCTTTACCCTGTAAAAATAGAGAATATTATTTATTAATCTTTGTCGGTCAAATGTTATTTTATTGATTTAGTATTTGATGGTAAGAAAGGCGTTAATTTAATACTAATAATTTTTGTTTTATTCGTTACATTTCATAGATATTTTATTTCTTTCCATAATTAAAGAAAGGAGTGCCTTAAGGTTTTATAAGACTCCAATGGCAATTGGATTTTGAGAGTTGAGATATTTACTAAGCTGCCTTCGATTAGCAGACATAATATGTACGTAATGCGACTATGTCATACGACTTTGTTCTTTAATCTCTGATAACGTCAGAAGTAGCTTAGACTCCCAGAATATAAATGGGTAAAAATGATGAATATGGTTCCGAAAAATCCAAGCCATCAAAACTAGATTTTCACCTTGTATTTGTCATTTTGCTTGAGGTCGTGGTAGACGAAGGAGCCGCGCACCGAGTGGTAAGGCCCACTGTACACGTTCCCACTGTAGCTGCTTTCACTGTACGCTGTCGGCTTCGTCAATTGGAATGTCGCATATGGACATATGTCCTCAATGTATTCTAAGGAAACACATTATCCTAGTTACTATTTTTTAAATTCTGCTTTGAAAGTGATATTTTAATTCAGTTACGCAAAATTTGACCCGCATAGACCTTCGAAAGTTGATTGAATGAAATTAAAGATGTTGGGACACAAATTATTATCATATGAGAGAACCATGTTTTGATCAACAACGGTTCAAAAAGCCGGCGACGACATTGCTTTACGGACTCTGAGCGGTGAATGACGTAAGATTGAATGGGCCACTATACCGTCAATCTGATTTCAATTTTATTGAGATTGCTGACTGGCACTGTTGTTAATCAACCAACACCGTTTACGATCAATCTGACATCATTCTAACCAAGGTCACGAACTAAACTGACGCTAGATATAGTCTGGTCATCTTACTGCTACGCAGGTCCTATACTCACCGTTAGATGCATGTTTGTAGTGATGTTGTGGAGCGGGGTGTTGCGCGCGTGTCGCTAAATACTGTTGGTCTCTATTCACTTTGTTTTGAAGCTGCGCGACTGATGGCGACTCGCCCACGCCACTCTCCGTGGCCGCTGTCTCTGTGCCACCTGATTCTACCACGAAAATTCATTCATAACGATGACACAATTAGTCTTATCGAAAGAGTTATGTTTTATTTGCCTTAGATAGCCCCCTTTAATCATGAATATCTTCAGATTCAGCTGTTGGAGTTAACTATTCCTATTCCGTTATTGTTTGAACTTATATTTAAATAATAATATTTTCATTATTTTTAATAACTCTGCAGTACATTTTTTTTTTATATTAAAAACAATCTTTTCACTAATTTATAACTATTTTGAAAAATATAATGTATATATATTAAACGTGTGCCTCCACCCTTAGTACTTACTTCAACATAATGAAATAGCAAGCTTAAGAAAGCTCTTGCATATTTTTGCCACGAGCTCTCCATATAGTAAAAGGGATGATAAGTAATTTTTTTTCCTCTGCGCACTTGGTAGATTACTGAAGCATATTAAATACGTTTTTTTTACTTGTTTTAAAATTACGGCAATACATTGTCTTAAAATGTCTTATGACATCAACTTTGTACGTTTTCTTAATAGTTGTGACATAGCGAGCCTCCCCTTCCCAACTTTGATACATGTCATCTCAGCTATTTCTTGTTAAATTGAAATAAATAAAAAAAAGTATCTAATATTTTTCTATTATCCGTGGCTGACAGATTAATTAGAATTTCTTTTTTTTTATTCACGCATCATTTCTATCGTATTATTTTAATGCTGATGTACTCACTGTTTCTTCGCACCAGGAACACTATGGCAACTAGAGCGCCCAGTACTAGAAGCGATAGAGCGGCGGGCAGAATCACGCGGGCGCCGCTCAGAGACCGCGCGCCCGCCGCTGGCACAGGAGGAGACACTTCGCCGTCTAACACTAGACCAACCAACCAGAAAACATCAGTATCATCATCATCATCGCTTCATCACCACCATCATCATCTCCACCACAATCATCATCATCATTATCATCATCACCATCATCATCTTACGTCTCCACTGCAGGGGCTCAGGCCTTCCTTATGAATGTTTAAGGAGGATGGGCCATGACCCTCCACGCTGACCCAGTGCGGATTGGAGGCTATTAACTACTGCAAATGCAGCCGGGATCAACGGCTTAACGTGCCTCCCGAAGCGCGGTGTAGCTCGAGATAATATGTATTTGGTCACCGGAAACATCCCTGTACAAGTTACTTAACAAAAACGATCACTACGCGGAGCATATCCACTACGCCAACGATTATAGTACACAATGTATTATTGGAACCTGCATGAATTGACATGACATCTGAGGGCCTATTCTATGTGTCCTCGAAGGTGAATTCAGAAAACGTTCAAAATATTTTTATAATTTGGTTAAATCATATTGGTGAAGATTATTTGTGCATCAGAGGTGTCAAGTCCTGCCCGCATCCACTGTATCATAGTTTATCGAAGAATTTTTGGAGTCGTATTGAGCATTTCGATAATAAACGGAATTTCGTTTTCGAAGAATAGGCCTTCAGGTGCTATATTCTACGAATCTGTGATACGAGTAGTATACATTATACGTGAATCTTAATGATCAAACAGTATCTGGGGGCTAATATGAGTATACGTAGACTTCAGTACAGAGCCCGTAGCGGTTCCTATAAAATATATTTTGACGTGACAAAGTTGATTCTAAAACTCATACCGAGTTTTCAGTTGTGATTACAAGTAAAACTTATATTTTATTTACGATCAAGCTCTTATTTCTTTATCCCCGTCTACGGCGAAGTGAATAGGAGGGTTATGATTTTGGCTGGTATGTATGTATGTAAGAATGTTCATCTGTTCCGTTATAACTTCGAAACTACTCGTCGTAACTGAACAAATGAAGTATCAAAGGACAGCGTAGTAGTATGCCATATACTACTACGCTGTTACAGCACAGCAGTATAACAGTTTATCTTGCTATGATCAGTGCCATACGACCATGCTATATTATAATAGCGATGACCAATATAAATAAATTTCTCGTTTTAAACTTTTTAGAGCCTGATTTAGCTGTAGTCAAGTTTTAGTTTTTGAACTTATTTTTTTTTATATATATATAGACAGGTACCCATTTTTTTAAATCATCGATACAAAACTCGCATAAAACAGGGATGTATCTAGATCTCAAAAAAGTGGGCGACCAACTTAAGTAGACTCAATTAGGGTTGCAGGCGTACTCATTGTGCCCATAACGGTGGATCAAATACAAAATCCTGCTGCGATTTCAAATAAAAACTTTTCCGAGTAGTACTTGGTTTCAACTATCGTGAGTATGTATATAGACTCACTGCCGTTTAGTGGGTTTGTAGTAAAGTTGTATAGTGCGACGGCGTGACCGGCGTTATTGTGTGCGGTGATCCGCAGCTGATAGTGAGCGGCGGGAGTCAGACCTGATACGCTGAACACACGCTCTGTCGCTTGTACACTGTTCGATACTAGCCGCCACTGAAACAAAATGTCGTATCGTTACAATAGATCTTTTAAGACAGTGACTATATACGCTATCACTATAATTGCATGTCATGTAAAGATTATTAAATAGTGTCTGTATATTCATAAAAATACTTAATACTTAAAAAACACATTGTCCCTGGCACTCTGAGATGGGACTCGAACCCATGACCTTACGCAATCCGGGCAACTGCTCTAACCACTGAACTGGACCCAACAGGACTGAAGAATCTTTCAAGAACTTGCAACTTTTTCGCTACTACAGAGCGTATTTTCATCAATGTTCAGGCAATCTATCCAAAAAGCCGAAAGAAATATTTAAACTTTTTCATTAAGAATAATATTCATCATAGCATTGTGAATACAAAATTAATTAAATATATGTGTCTATATATTTGAAAAGTGGCAAAATCTATATTATTTAAATTCTTTACCTGTGATTGACTTATTTCCCGGTACTCAATAACGAAGTAAAGTATTCCGCAGCCACCGTCTCCCCAAGAATCGAGCCATACAGTCACAGTAGTAGTGTTCAGGGTTATCATCTGAGAGTGTTTTGGCTTCACAGGAACTGTAGTTGAAAGTAGATAAAAAAGAAATAGTTTCGAAAAAATATAACTTACAAAGAATTAACATACGAGTCGTAAGTACTTAGATAATAGAAGTTGCAAAACAATCGGTTAGTACAAAAAATTATAGACCTGCCTCATTCTTGATCTCGAACTCAAGAAGATGGTACACCATAGTGGCGTATTGTGGGAGGCCTATTCCTAATAGTGGATTGCTATAAACTGATGATAAAATAATATCAACGAGTCATATTTGTATTTGCATCGTTATCATCCCCCAATTTGCACTGAACCTGTATAGGTTTCATTAAGCTTTTTAAACAACATCCATCATAAATATTACGACGAGTCGTTGCGGATACGCTGCGATTCCGTCATAAGTCGTGACGGCACGTTGGCGCAGCATTGTTATCGTAAAAATCTGCGTTGCCGTATTTAAAGGGAAAAAATATTAAAATGCCATATAAATTTGAAAATCTTTATTTCCCGTATGTTTCTTCTCCATCTACGTTTCACATCGTTTCTATAACTTGAGATTCATGTTTATCTAGCCTGTAGTTATACACTTAGGTATACTTGCTTCTCATGTTGTTGTTTAAACTATAAACATTAAACTTTGTACAGTTCCCAAAATTTTGAATAAGTTTTCTTGCTAATAGAGTTATTTAGCAAGAGAAGAAGGCCTTCAGAGTCACAATCACTCATTTATCAATTTTAATAAAAAATAAACACTAAGGAATTGGTTTTATTCTCAAAACCGTAACCAACGAGTGAGCTCGAGTATTATGTCTGAGCTATTCGACTCAAAGAGCGAACTAAAGCGTAAGGGACGGCAGTATACGGTACGCTGGTTTAAAACGTATCGTTTCACCCACACCCATTTGCCGTATTTTTGATACTGTATTGAAAGGCTTGCCGTATACCGTATTTTGTGTGAGTATCAATAACAACATTGCGTTGGTGGAATAATTGCTCATTCGTGGAGATGACCTGACGATAGAAGCGCGAACTTGTCGCGATTCTCTCGCTCGTGGAGACGGCGCGTTTGTGGTCCTATCCACAGAGAAGGCCAAGAGGCCTGAGTACCAACAATGTGAAGATTATTAGCCGATAGTGGTAGTGACATCTGTGTACTAACCTGTGCCCTTAGTATATGCGTGCACGATGTCACAAGGTAATCCAGTGCCGATGCGGTTGAAAGCAGTAATGTACAGTTGGTAACGGGTGCCGCACCACAGGTTTGGAAGCACATGTTCCGATGTTCCCGCCTCCACTTGAAGCTCCTCCCAGTCGCCGTGTTCTCGCTTGTAGTTGATCACGTAACCTAAATGAAAGCGGGCACGTGTTACTTATTAATTTTACTTAATTTTTAACACTTACACTCGTACGTATAGTCGAGAGGAGTAATTACTTGCGTCATATGTTAATATTTTTAACCAATAGACGATGATAGGGTACTGTTTTTTTTTATTGTTTTATAATAAGTAAATCAGTACGCGTGTTTATTCCCACAAAAATATGAGTAAGTGTCGCCACCTTTACGTATAATAAAATCAAGTGGAGGGTACATCTGAAAATCAGTTAAAAACATTATTACCGGATTACCCTCAACTAAAATCAGAAGACGACACCCGCCAGTTCTCCAGTCTCCTCGTGACCACGGCTGCTGTAACGTAGCCGAAACGTCGAGGTAAATTAATTGTTTTAAAAAATGCACGAACAAGACCCGATTGCATATAATTATAACAAAATAGACTGTTGTAAACATTGTACTTTGAATGTTTCCCGCGCTTTTCCTAGAAATTTTTAAGACCAATTTACCCACCAATTTCGTCACGCGATTGGTGTTTCATTTGACGTAAGACACAGATTACAAAAATGGGAAAATTGAAACTTTATAAAATTTGGAAATACACTCAGTTCATTTTTTTTATCTAATTGCTGTTCTATTCCCTATTTGAATCAAGTAAGAAATGTTAATAGCTAATAATAATAGTATTCGAACTATTCACAGTTCTAACTTCATTCAAATTCTTGTTTAGTCGGCAAAAATATTTGCTTATGACATATTCTCAAGTAATTGCTTCTCTCGACTGTAGGTATGTGTGTTAGAGTGGTAGAGGTTCAATCAAATAAAATCTACCTATTTGAAAAGGCAATAAAGGTTTTATTTTAATGAAGTTCTATGTCGTGAAAGCTCTGAGATCGACATTGAGAGGCTGTTTTAGCATAGATGATAATTGCGTAAGATTAAAAACCTATTCTACGAGTATTACTTCGATAGCAAAATTTCGTCTACTTACGAAATACAACACCACTCGACTCGATACGATACGACAGAGAAACGCATTTTTAGATAATTTATAATCAACGGAAGTAAGACCCGACACTGCCTCTGATGCACAGATAATCGTCACGGATATAATTTATTTCCGAATTTTCGTTGGAGGCCAAATAGAACAGGCCCTAAGGTGTCATATTAATTCGTATGAGTTATACCCAGTATAGGACTGCCGCCGTCACCCTGATCGCTCCACTGCAGATGTAATGAGTCCGCGTATGAATCGACGACGGCCAACACAGGCGGCTGAGGAGGCACCTTCACCTCCACACTATACGTCACGTCGTCACGACCGTGGATGTTCTCTACGGTACATGTGTAGTTACCGCTGTCAGCGTACTGCGTCATGCTGGTTGAATAGAAATGCTAGAATGAATCTTCGAGTTCAGACTTAAAACGTAATTATTCTACCTATTATCTTTCAGACGGAATAAAACGAAATTTAAACGGTTTTGTTTACAGGTGATCATTAGATTGAGTGATAGCTATCATATTTTTGTATGAGTTTGATTCGCCATTTCTTCTCAGACTGGCCAAAAGCACTGATGGTTACTGTGTATATAGGGTTTTTTTGTAAAACACCAGAGATTTCGCAGCCCTTTTCCCGTCCCCAGAATATTAACAACAAAATTTGATCTACGATGTTTAACATAATTCAATCTATTGAAGAAAAATGTTCCAAAAAACTATAATCAAATTCTGTAATTTTATTCCAAAGCAATTGGAACTAAATCTGATTATAGATATCTTTATGACATGGTAGGATGGTTATTTTTAAGAAGAATGTATCTGGGATATAAAAAATAAAAAGGTTCAATATTACCTGATAACGAGAGTACCATCAGAGGTCACGTTCTTCCTCAGAGTAGACTCTAGAGTTGCTCCGTTCATACTCCATGTGGTAGAAGGAGTGGGGATCCCAACTTTGTTACAAGACAGCGATATGTTTTCCTTCCAAGGAGTCACTATACTCCTACTGAACGAAGTGATTCTTGCAGGAACTGAAAAAAACAAAACTACTTCATCAATGACAATATGCTTGGGCTACAGAAAAAGATCACAATAAACCAAGGCCAATAAAGAGGAACTAGACCCCGCAGTTATTAGTGTTGACGTTGAATAACTTCAATAAATTCCGCTAAGCCCAGTAAAATAGATAGATAACCAATAATATTTACAATTGTGAAATTCTCCGAGCTCTGTAATAAGGCCTTTTTGGTAGTTAATCTCTACATTTTTGGATTGGGCACCTGGTGGCGTGGCCTTTTCTTCTTATTTTTACTATCTATAGTGAAGGTTTACGTATGCCTCAGTTGTAAGAGATTTAAACTATAAACCATCAGCATCATTAAAAAATATAAAGTGACTGTCTGCCTCTGTCATTTTATGTGTCCGTTATACTTTTAATCAACATCTAACTAACTCACCAGACTCTGATGGTAGAACGGTAACAACCCTCGTTGTTTCTCCTTCTCCTAGCCGGGTGGATGCTGATACCCAGAACTGGTGAGTGGCGCGCGGAGGTGAACGGGATGTCTCGTGTGAGAGCGTGCTTGGCGACAGCATACGTTTGTGGGTGCCCTCCTTGGGACAAAATTGGAATCCTTATTCAACTCTTTGACAATGCATATATCCTCGCGATTTTAATGTTAAAATTATACAAGTCCATCAAACAGCTATAATCATGTGCTTTTTTTCCTTATTCTTATTTGTTTCACCAGATTGATTACTTTTTTCGCAAGTAAGCACATTTGTATTTCGCGATTACGGCGGAAGTAGGGAAGCATTACCAACTTAGGTCTTTATTTTGGCGTGCGCATAAGGGCAACTAATTGGGGCACAACAGTAGGTAAAATATATGACCTGACAAAGATAAAAGAGCAAGGACATAAAAAGTATACTAGGATCGTGATATTACGATGATGACAAAGATAACGCGCAGACCAGTGCTGTTTTTTTACCAACTTTGGTTTGGAGGATAATGTACCTTTCTTGTTATAATGTTTGTTTTGAATCATGTGCTAAACTAATTTTAGGTAATATTTTTCTAAGATTTATAAATTTGTCCTAGCCTTTTGAAGTATACGTTAAACGAAATTTCCGACGAGTGTGCAAGGTCTAATTTTATATCATATAATTTGTCGCTTCTGACTTTCCGTGATTGATGAGTCGCAATATATCTTCTGTCAGACACGCACCAAACCTTTCTTGTGTCGTTCCTTCACGGACTATCCTCAAGAGTCGTTAGGTTGATCAGGATCAAACAATACTAATCTGCTCTTGCATGTGTACATACTGGATATTTAAATAGCTAAATATAGTGATTTTAAAGTTATTAAAATAATTATAAAAATAAATTTCACCTCTCGTCCATCTTCGATAACACTCATGTACAAGGTGTATCCCACAAGGATGCCGTTGGGTGATGCAGGTGGTAGCCATGACACGAGGATCTTGCTACGGGACGATACTACTGCTTTGATGTCTGCAGGAGCTGACGGTACTGTTATACAAAAATTTTGAGTAAGTTCTTCGAGGTAGTCGTATTACGCTAGCTCAGATTTCGCTGCATCCAAATGACACTTTTCTTGGATGCGCCCATAGAATACTTTACTCTCGACCCGTTTCACGAGTTTCTGACGTTCGTTATGACACGTATCATAGGATTAAAAAAGGTTTACCTTTTTGGTACATTAATATCTATACTTAAAAGTTTTCTCCTGAAATGAATAATTTATTGAGTAAAAAGCATCATCAGACATATTATTGGTCTAATGATCAAAGTGCCCGCTAAGGTCCAGGAACGTCTAATTAAATGAAACTAAAATATAAAGTAAACATTCAACGTAAACATAAAAAGCGAGATTTTGTATTCAAGAAATACAAGAAAGAATGGTGTATTCAAGAGTGCTGTTAAGTAATAAAATGTAACTGTCTATAAAAGAAACCTGATATTGTAAAATTACCATCTTCTTCCGTATGGCAGTAGACTGGTGCTGCTCTAACACCATCGCCTGCAGCCGTAAATGCGCATACGGTTACTGAATAGTTGGTGTACCTTCGAAGGCCCGACAACGTAGTGTGGAGTCCTGATATTTGCTTCGTAACTGCTTCCTCGTTGCCTGTAAAAGAGTAATGTTGAATTTCCTATTGTTAAATAATATGGCGATATTATTATCTAAAAAATGCTTATGCAATTACCCTAGCCCTTCGCCTCTCAAACTTTAAATCTTCTTCAGAGATACTCATAATTCACTTCATTATCGTTATTCTGATGAATCATATCAACAAAAATATTATTTTGTAATGACATTATTTTTTATACAAAGTTTAAATAATTATTCCCGTTAGAATGATATTATAGTCATCATTCTGAAATGACATGTTCTTAAATTTAATTAGATTGATAAGTACTTCATCGATTTGCAATATTTTCTTACCATACCAATCCGTGACCGGGGCGTATGTCACTCTGTACCCTTGCAATACTCCGTTGCGACCACGCATTGGCGGTGGTTCCCAAGATACCCGTACTGATTGAGAACTTACAGCTGTACACTGTAGAGAGCCCGGCGGTAAACTAGGAACTGAAAACAATATATAAAAATATCATTATTAGGCTACCGGACAATTAACTTCGTTATCAAAATTATTTGGCTTTGCTTGTTAATGTTCGAGTTATATTTTTTTAAACATAAATTTGATTAATATAGTCTGGGTTGTCCCTTATGGGTCTCATTAATTTCTAGTTAACTGCTGTCTTACCGTCTTCCATAGTAGTGGCGGTAGTAGGAGGAGAAGCGGGTCCAGCGCCTCTACTGTTGTATGCCTGCACTACGATAGCATAGGCAGCGTGTTTCTGTAGACCAGATAGAGTAGTTCTAGCTCGAGCTGAACCAGCTCCTTCAACTGTTCGAACAGTATATGACGCGCCACCTGGTCCACTAGCACTCAAGACTGTACTGTTGCTGTTGAGCTGAAATTGTTAACAAAATAATGAAATATACAAGTAAGTCCGATTCTTTTTTATAAACATCTATTGTCGACATCATAGAACTCACCTCTTGAAATCCAACATAGTATCCGAGTATATTTCCATTCCAAAGATCTCTTTGTGGTGGCTCCCAACTGACAATTAGTTCAGTTGAGCTTTTAGCCTCGACCCTAACATCTAGTGGTGGGCCACTTGGAACTAAAAACAAAGATTTTTTTAAATAAAACAATTAAATATAAGCAATCAATATCAAGAAACTTGTATACCTTCTTCAGTGGTCGTTACTTGAACTAGCTGACTCGGTTCGCTCTGACCTAATCTGTTCTCTGCGATAATTCGTAAATGATAGGAAGTAGCCGGTTGTAAATTTTGAACACTTGCTGATGTTACGCTACCTGGCACTATTACTTTTTGTGGTGTAGTTGGCCAGGAATCTGAAAGCAAAAAAAATAAAAATAAAATTATGCCCATTATTTTTAACGAAAACCAAAAATATCTCACAAATGAGGTTTACCGGGAGCTTCTTTATACTGTACGATGTAGTTTATAATAGGGCTATTGCCCGCGTACGGTTGAGTCCAAGATATTTGTATTGCTCGAGATTGTTGATCAATTATTCTAATGTTCTTGGGCATTTCCGGAACCTAAAATAATGAAGTAAAACAAATTTGTTTATAGCTTCTGACAAATATTTAAGTACTGTTGATGATTATTGCCTTAAGAGCAAGTACAGTTGGCATTTGGCTATTTACAGTTGCTTCAGGCACTTCAATGTTATTTCAAACTTTATAAATTTGGTAACTTTACCTCTTGTACGACAAGATGTATAAGCATTTCGTCTTGTCCATACGCGTTGGATGCACGGCATGTGAGCGCCCCAGTGTCTTGCCGATAGGTTTGTAGTATGCTCAACTCTGATACTAGTCCATCGTCCAAAACTTGTTCTCGAATAGTGTATCTAATCAAGAATGTATGCAAAAATTAAAAATACAAATGTCTTTCTTTACATAAGATTCAGGTATACATTTATTAAATATTGAAGAATAATTCATTACATTTTGGTGGAAAAACTTGTGTTTAATACTGGTAATGGTAAGTATAACCAATTTTGGAAATACGAGTACATGTGTTAATCCTTACAAGTTGTTACATATTTAACTCTAGTTGAGTTAATGAATAAAAATGTTGGATATAGGTATAGCTATTATTATCAGAGTAGCATTAAAAAATATCGATCTAATAAAAATTGCAATACATACAATTATTTTACAGTTTTTCAAATCGTTGGGATTTGAAAAACTGCAATTTAATTTCACATTGTTATAATAAAAAAGTATTACTATTTGTTAAAATTAATAAACGTTTTTTTATGTTTTATTTAAATAGGTTTACTACCTTTGATCTAGATGGTGAGCTATGGTGTGATGATGAGGGCTTCTCCAGGATACCTCTAGAGGTGCATCTCCAGATGCCGCACATTGTAGGTGAGCCGCCTCTCCTGCGGTCACTTGTACAGTTTTGCTCTTCATTGGAAATCTAGCTGGAGCTAAGGTAGGTAAACAATCAATTAAGTTTAGAAGAACAAAACAATGTCAACCTTATATTGCTTACTTGTGAAACTATTGTCAAAATTTGCTTGAGAAACTTAAATTTATTCTGTTTAAGTAAGTAAGTCGGTTCTTTTTTTGCAATTATAATTAAAAAAACAATGAAATTTCGACGAATAAATACGACACGACAGTTAAAAAATATGAAAGGAGCTAAAGAGATTGTTACCGAAATGGGGGCGCGACAACAGAAGATTTAGTGCTGTAACGTTGGGTCGAGCCGCGAAGCGGTCGCCCGTAATTTATTGGCCAGCACTTTGTTTACGGGCCTCGCATTTTTATGATTTACGACTCATAATAAAGCAGGCTCATTTAGAATGATAATCTCCTTTCTTAGTTCTCATATTGAGTAATAGATGTCACTGTACGTGGACACATATAAGGAGACAACGGTGCCGTCGTCGGATTAGGCGCCAGCGAGGAAATGTTACAACTAATAAAATCAGTAAAAGCTGTTTACTTAGCTTTTACATCTAAAAAAAAAATATAAAATTGGCTTATCAGTTTGTTTAGCTTTACTTATTTAAAATCCGTAACATTCGAATTTCCCGTATTCAGATTCAGATTTCCCCACCCGTCGAGAACATTATGTAAAATTCTTTGAATATATTCGAATCCATATTACAATTTTTTTTGAGAATTTCGTTATATATTATTGTAGAATAAAGCATATATTGAACAGTTAGTAAGTAAAGTTGACTCAGTCTAGTGTAAACCAAAGTAAACAAGGATGAAAATACGATTACGTTTTCTGGTGGAACCTGTTTACAAACCGGCGGGCGGACGTGACCGAGACGGGCGGGCTCGAACCAAAGAAATTTTCATTCACGGCAGTTTACTTCTAACAAGTTCGCTCGGGAAAACACAAATCTTCATTTCGAGCGTTGATACGTATCATAAATACAGAAAAGGAAGACCTCGCGACGCGGTCAGGGATAATTTCAAGACATTTGCTTTCCAACTAAGCCAATATTCGTGACAAACACGTATACGGCGGAATAATTCTAGTGGAAAGCAACTGTCTCGTTTTCCAATAAAGAGGAGACTTATTGTGACGTACGGCCATTGAGTTTTCTGCTCAGACGCGTCGACAATGCCGACATGCACACTCAATAGAGTACAATAGAAGAAACTACAAGAACTTGCTTTGTTGCAGTTTTACCGTCTTCATTTCAATTGTTATTTACTGTCCATTTCCGTTTTTAATTTAACGATTTCTTTTTATAAATTCGAAATTTGCACAGGATTAAATAGCTAATAGCCAGTTGCATAAAAGTCCATTAAATCCATTTAAATTTAACAATAATTTTATATAAATGAACATTAGTCATTAGCAGCACAATGAAGTCCATATCAATAACGGTTACAACTTTAGAATGCCTCGGACGATTGCAAGGACGAAGTCTTCCCTTCCCAAAGTGGATATTTCCACATTTAATTTATCTTACATCTGTAAGTCTAGACTGGAGGAAGGTCAGTCATCGTGCTCGATGAAGTCAATTACACGCGCCGCTGGCTAGTTTTAAGTTATTTTCGTCCCACGAGTTGCGGCTTGAAATACCTTGTGCCAGTATTATGCCGGTAAGATGGTGTTTTATTCTATTTTGGCCAAAAAAGGTTCTACGGTATTACTTAAGAGTATATTCTTAAAAACCTAACTTCACTTTTTTTCAATTATTCTTGTAAAACCGAATAGATTTCACAGTCAAACATAAGTGGAAATACGAGGAATACGACTGCTTGCTTATTCACTGTTCTTTTTAACTAAGAAAAGCCGCTGATTTTTTTTCTTAAAGTATACGATTTTCATTTACCTGAAAATCCAATAAATATTGATAAAACTTATAATCTGACTATTGAATGAATGAATTAATCATTCTTTGTTGTACATAAACACCGATAATAGGAAAACAATAACACAAAGAACAGATAGTACAAAACCTTATCGCTGAGAAGCAATTTCTTCCAGGCGACCGTTAGAGTCTGGATAAATTAAAATTTTAAGTGTACATTACGTACACATATATTTATTACAATGTAAAAGTTCTTATTTACAGATAGTACTCCTTGACTAGGTTTTTCTAATTATCTATCATTTGTGCACGTCATTTTTGGACAATTAACTCGCTGTTTTCCCACGACTTCGGCCGCGTAATTATAGTTTATGTCAAACATGTATGATATAGTTTGTAATTTGCAGGTGAAAGAATTTTTATAATCGGCCCAGTATTTTCAGAGCCAATTCAAATAATTATATATTTTAGTGTTTCTGGAGTTGTTATCCAAAGTATACTACGGGTGAAGTCGCGAATGGAAGCTAGTTATATTATAGAACAAAGTATGTCACTGCGTCTGTTTGAATGAGATAAACTCAAAAACTTCCCTACGGAATTATGCGACTTACACCATCAACGACTTATATATGAGGAAACTTTGGTGTTATAATAAACCACATGTTATATAATAAATAAATTAACATGATTTTTGACCACGTAATATATGCTTTTAAAAAAGTAAAATTTAAGTATGTATGTAGATCAAATATAAGAACGAATAAAATAAAGTAAATAGAGTGGCTTATAAACCGGTTTCAAGGAGTCTCCGTCTGTGATGTCCCGGGTTCCATTAAATTAAATTAGTGTAGAAATTCTATTGATTCCATTTTTGTAGAAAAATATAAAACAAGATTTGTTGATTCATACGTGTCTCCGATATTCTATCCCTACACTCTAAAAAATTGAGGCCAACAAAGAGCAAATTTCTCTTGGTTGACATAATATTGAATAAAACAATTACTTATTTACATAAATCAACCAAAGCTGAAACATTGAACCAACTAGTTAAAGTATGGTTAAATTAAAAATTTGGTAACCCTGATTAATTCTATCAAATATATTTATCGTATCAATCATTACTGGTTTTTTTTGTGTCAATCGATTATTTTTAATAGTTAAATTTAACAACTAAGTATGTTGAAGCAATTTATACAAATTAATCAAAATAAATAGGTAAAGTAATAGATTAGACGATTTTTATTGTTGCAGTAATAAGTTCTCGTATTTGGTTTAACAAAGAACGTTAGTAGAACCAAAAAAACCCTTTGTTTTTCAAACAACAAAGACTATTTAGTCAATTCAAAAACATGAATGATTAATCGTAACTACTTGGCATTATTGGACTAACTAAAATGAAGCTGTTCATGCTACTAACAATGTATTTGCTAAAATAATTATCAAATTCTGATTGATTTAAATACTGTCTTATATGAATCAACTAAGAAAAGCGAGTGCCAACAAAGAGTGACTTTGTTAAATCCACACAAACTTATCAAATTCACTTTTCTATTGCGAGAATATTGTTTGAATATTGTTATGAAAAAGATTAATTCAACCAACATGTTGGTCGATATTAATATGAAACACACCCATCATCTTCATAGGTGCCCGAATAGTTTTAAGTCTGCAAACTAGATGGCGTTGTTCATTTAATGCATCGCGGTATCAGTTTATATCGTTAGATTGTATAAGTAATATGCCGTTTACACTAAACTTAATATGAGATTCGAAACCAACTGTTCCAGTTATTTGCTTTAGCTCTTTGGTTAGGCTCTGAGCTGTGGTCCGAGTTTAAAATCTGACTCGCTTTGGACCAAAAGTTCAGAATGATCAAACGGCTAAAGTGGTTGGTTGTCTTGGTTGAATTACCATTGGTAAATCGATTAATATAATCATATCTCATGCTTAAATTGACCAATCTTTCGGCAGAATTAACTTCGGTAAATTGTTTGAAACAACCAAGTGTCATATTAATATCGACCAACATGTTGGTTGAATTAACTTCGGTAAATTGGTTAGTACAACGATGTTTCATGCTTATATTGACTAACCTATCGGTTGAAAGAACTACGGTAACTTGGCAAGTACATATTTCATGGTTAAATTGACCAACTCTTTGGTCAAATTAACTTTCGTAAATTGATTAGTTTAGCCACGTTTCATGTTAATTTTTACCAACCTCTTGGTTGAATCAACTGTGGTAAATTGTTCATACAGTCACATATCATAGACATATCGACTACGATCTTATTTAAATTGAAGACTAGGACGTAGTTGCTATAGTTATTTATAATGATCAAATTGAATGAAATCTTAACTATCTTAATAAAGTAACTATAGTAAAAATAATAAAAACCATCTTATTTAATGTATCTAACATCTTGTCAGGCTCATATGGAAACAAGATGCTTGGTCACATATATCACAATATTGTTTGATTTAACAATTTTTTTTTTAGAGTGTACGTCATTTCGAAACTCACACAAGCTACGAAAAGTTAATAATACCGATTTGACAATAGTCGGATGTGCTTTCGAAGTGAATTTAAACATATGAGTGAATTCGAATTCGGGTTAGGATTTTTATGGAATTGGTCTGCAGGTCAATATAACTTTTTTATATCACATAATTCAAGTTTATATCACATTATATACATACTTTAAAAAACAAAATTCTAGTTCTGAGTAACTAAGGTATAAATGTTGTTAATATTTATAATTATTAGCTTTTAATGCAGGCAGGCAGTGGCGTAGCTAGGTAACCTAGAGCCCTGGGGCAAATAAAAAAATGGGGCCCACTGCTATCAAAACTGGTAAGATTTTTTGATGTAAATTCATTAAATATACAAATACTTTGAAAATGTTAAGCAACTTTATCATCAGCTCTTGTTCGTGCATGGGCAGATAATAAAACTATTAAACACTAACAACATAAATTACAATTATTTTTATATTTGGTGTAGGTATTGGGCAATAAAACGAAATAGAAAAGATTCAAGGGTTTATTTTATATTTATTTATTCATAGATACGTTGCATCAGCTTACTGTTATTTAACCTATCGCCATGCCAGCTATTTACAAAAATTATCAATAGAAATATTTTG